TCTCTCTCACACCATGGATCTGACATGAAACTAATCGGAGCACATACTACACTTGATCGTGGAGGTGGGTGGGTCTCTCTCTCTCTCTCTCACACACACACACACACACACACACACACACACACACACACACACACAGATCCGAAAACAGTACGGAGGCTGCATGGGCGGAGAAGAGAGTTGAGGTGGCAGCCGGTCAGGGCGGCCGAGGAAGAGCGGAGGGTAGAAGGGGAGGCGCTGTAGCGAAATAGGGTTGTGGAGGAGCGGAGGGGGAAGGGGGGGCGGGGTGGAAGGGTAGTTGGAGGAGTCGGGTGGCGTATGAGCGGCGGAGGGCGAACGAAGACGGGAGGGGGCGGGAAGTGGTTTGGGGAGGGAGCCATGCCACTGACCTGAGGGTTCCATCTTGCAGCAGTATTCAGTCGATGACAACTGCCCCACCATACACCACAGCTCACGGCGCACCACAGCAGCTGGCCAACCTTAGGTTAGAGGGAGACAGGGATAGTATGTGTGGAGGTTTCATCCCCGACAGTCTGCCCAAGATGCATTTGACTGATGGATAAGTCTGCCCAGGATGCATTTGACTGATGGATAAGGACTCACCACGCCGCCGAGCTATACACTCAAAAAATAGCATGACTGTGCCAGACTGTTTCGTCGGACTGTTTTGTTGGACTTTCACCGACTCATTAGGAGTTTGAACCTCGACAGTCTGCCCACTATGAAAGAGAGAAGCAGAGAGCGAGAGAGAGAGTTGGGCGCCCCAGCAGCGAAGTCCACAACAGCAAGCAAGGCATACGTAACACGGCGCGAGGCAATACCCAGCACGCACTATGGCAAACAACATGGACCCGTAGGCGGAAAGCTCAACAAATATGGCGCGATGCGGTTGCAACAGAAAAAGGCGAAGGTAGTACCCCACGGCACTCCGCGGCACGTCTATCCAAGCCCACGATACTCGACTCCGGTAGTACCCCACGGCACTCGACGACGCATTTATCTGAGCCGTCGGTCCGGACCAACGGCCTGGATCTTGGCGCGGTCTTAAGATCTTAAGACCGCGTCTATCCAGGCCGTCGGTCTGGTAGGACCCGGCGGCCCAGATGGCAGATTTGTTACATGGTTCGGTCGATCTGGGCCGTGGGCCGGTAGGACCGACGACGGCCCGGATATCAGATTTGTTTCGTTAGCGATTTCAATAGTGTAGGAATAGCTGAATCAGAATCAATGTCCGAAGCCCGCTTCTACTGCAGGTATCACATGAGGTCCACCATAGCCATGGCCACCCTTCTCCTTCCTCGTCGAAGGCCGAGGCTACGACAGACTACCAGGGCATTGCCCTGCTGTGCAAATGACAACACAGAGCAGCTATGGCTGCTCTAACTCAAGCCGCCATGCCTGACTCTGCCTCAAAGCTTCTTGGTGTAGCTCTACCCCACTTGGGGCCTTCTTGCTGCAGCGCCTACCAATGTGGTGAACGTGGCAACCACCATAGCCAGGTAAGTACCTCTGGCTCTCCCCTTCTAGTCCTTGTCTTTCCCGTCCTCCTGTCCTTGCTCCTTCCCCAGCAGCGCTGCTCTATGCTAGCGCTGCAGCGCTGCTCGAGCCAGCACTACAACCAGTGTGTCGCCAAACTTGCACACCGAGAACGAGGAGGAGCGCTTTGCTCCTCCTGGAGATATAGCAGCCTGCTTGCCTCTTGGTGAGTGACTTTGTAGGTCATGCGGCCTCCAAACAACTGGCACCTCCTCCCTTTCAGAGGGAAACATCCTTGCAGACTCTGTTGTTGCCCGTACAGGCCCTAGACTCAGACTGGTTGGACTGGTACCCGCCTAGACCTAGCCTACAACTACTGGGCTCTGAAAATGCCATTTGTGTCTTCTTCTTCTCAGCATTGAGTACCCGGCACATCTACGTCTTCCTGGTGTGGTGCCAGCCTACCTGCTAGTATTTTTCCGCTGCTCCAAGTGTCGCGGGCCTCTTTCCCCGTCCGGAACGTCTACGTCTTCCTGGTGTGGTGCCGGCCTACCTGCTACTTGAGTATTTTTCCACTGCTCCAAGTGTCGCGGGCCTATTTCCCCGCCGATCGTGTTTTCCCCGCTGAAACCCTCAATGTCACGGCCACAGGCAAGTACCGGCCCTTTGGGCCTTCTGCACAGACAAGCACCCTTGCGGGTCACACACACACTCAAACCGACAAGCACTCAGACAGGCACGCAGACCAGCGAGCACGCACACACTCAGACTCAGAAAACTCAGCAACAAGTGGGAAACTCAGCAAGGCATACATTCCATTGGCAAAACTCAGAAATCAACTGTGTGTCTTTGGCAGGTCCTAACAAGGCAGTATTGGAAGACACGTGAAAGCGTAAAGAGGATCTTCTTGAAGCATAACGTTGGTCTTGGATGTCGCGTGAAACCATTAAGGGGGTCTACTTAAAGCACAAAGTGGGCCTTATAATACGCATCAAAGGATAAAGCGGGTCTTGGAAGACGCGTCCAAACAGCCCCAAACGAAACACTTGCCAAGCGTGACGGTGTCTGCACAGGCCGGTCAAATACAAGTATACCGCAGACCCTTGGGATGCCACCGGCTTGAAGTGGAATTCCCGAATACAATGATGTTGGGGGCCAGTAGCCTGTTGAGTACATCGAAAAAGCACAAAGTGATAAAAAACAATGTAAGAAAAATAAAATTGAAATCACACAAAACAATGAAAACAGAAAGAAAAAACCGACCCTCGTTATCATAGGAGAGACATTCTGGCCACGTCACTCACCAATAGTGGAATTCACGAAAACAATAATTTTGGGGGCCAGTAGCCTGTTGAGTACAACGAAACAGCACAAAGCGATAGAAAACAATGCAAGAAACAAAAATGAAACCACAGAAAATAATAGAAACAGGAGGGGGAAAACGACCCATGTTATCACAGCAGAGACATTCTGGCCGCATCACTCCACCGATAGTCTAAAATGGGGAATGTATCTTTCATGATAAGGTGGCAAGATACAGCTGCGAAAGCAAAAAAAGAAAAGGAGCTGGAACTGTGATGAGGAGGTCGAACTGTCATAGATGACAGCAATACAAATGATTTTAGCATCATCTTTGTGTGTGTGTGTTTCTTTTTTCCCTGTTCTTTCTTTTGTTTTGTTTATTTGTAGTCAAAAATTGGGAATGCATATTCCGTCATAAAAAGTAGTGGTAAGATACACTCGCAAAAGCAAAAAGGAAAAGGAGCTCGAATTGTGATAAGGAGGTTGAACTGTCACGAATGACAGCAATACAAAAATGTGAGCATCATCTTTTTGTTTGTGTGTTTTCGTTTTTCCCTGTTTTTTCTTTTGTTTTGTCTATTTTGTTTCCAGCTGTTTCGTCTCTATCTCCATACTCTTAAAGCAAACAGCGGGTCTCGTGTAACGCTTCCCACGCGAGACCCCCCTCCCAGTTGGGCCCAGGTCGGTTCGGGCCAAAGCTGCCAAACCTCTGTTTTGCGGCGCCCGACTTCTTTTTTTAGTGCCCGACTATTGTTTCGAGTCTGGCGGTGAGTGTTTAAAATTTAAATATTGTTTTTCTCGGAATTTTTTTTTTAGTCTGGCGGTGACTGTTTGGGCCAAGGTTAGTACGGGCCTGTCTGAATGGAGTTTGGGCGGCGCGATTGTGCAATAATTGTGTGGAAGACTCGGGCGGAAGGCTGTTGTTGGCGCTGTTTTATGAACGGGGTCTTTTTTGGCCGCGAGTTTGTGGTCTGAATCTACAAGTGTGGCAGTGTATATGTCCATGTTCTAGCGGAAGGTTCATTCGATCTTGCTCATCCTATCGATGGAAGTAGCATGAGACCAGCCACGAGGTTGGAGACTGACCTATTCTCTCTCTCTCCCTCTGTCTCTCTCTCTCCCTCTCTCTCTCTCTCTCTCTCTCACACACACACACACACACACACACACACACACACACACACACACACACAAGGAAAAATAAAAAATGGCTGTCTTGGCACACCCAGGGTTGTGGTACTGATGATGATGGTGATAATGATGACTAATGATGATAGAAGAGGAGGAGATGTTGACAAATAATAATAGTAAGAAGAAGAGGAAGAGGACGAAGAGAAAGAAGAAGAATGAGGAGGGAGATCATGATGCGCGGACAATTGGTCAGTGGCTGCTTTCAGGGTGGGGCAGGGCAGTGCCGCCAACATTCCCCACCAGCCCACCTCACATCAGCAATGAGGTGCAATGAGGTGTGTTTGGCCTTTTCAGTGCCTCAGGTGGGTGTGGCAAGGTCCAGCCTTGCCGTCTTTTTGGACGGCTGGAACAGCTGCAACATGTCACTACCTGGCCTCACTGTATGCCAGGCTGCTTGGGAGTGCCCCATGACCTTGCAGGCCTCATGTCATGAGGATCTAGCTGTGGCGTAGGGTGGGGCAATGTTGATGTGTGGCTTCAATGACATGGGCAATGCTGCAGACATTCCCCATCGCACATCAGCGATGAGGTGGAATGGGAAGAGGCCGGCCTTTTCAGTACCTCAGGCAGGTCAGGCAGGTGTGGCAAGAGATGCTGCAACATGGCACTCCCCGGCCTAGCTGCATAGCAGGTCGCCTGGGAGCGCCCTGTGCAGTAGTCCTTACCTAGTGGTGGGCCAGTGACGCCTCGAATGGTGGCCGCCGATTGGACGACTGGTCAGCTGGTCTGCTACCAGTCGGTCAGGGGCCACCAATCACGTATCCCTACAATAAATAATTAAAATAAATTAATTATATACTTGTTGGCAGGGCGACCCTGCTGGTTTGACTCGAAATGGTGTCTATGCTACTACCTATTGATTCCCCCATATGAATAGGCTCTCTGCCTTCATCTGTAGCCCAAATGTATCCCACAGTGCATCAACACACATCATTGTTGTCAGGAAGATGCAGCTTTGCCATTCATCCAGAGTACATGGTTCATGTTGTGAGGATCCTAAGGTGGCTGCGCTCACTAAGGGGCAGGGTTGGTGCGCGGCTTCAGTGGCATAGGCAGTGCTGCCGATTTTCAGGACTGCCTGGCCCTTTCAGTGCCGCATGTGTGTGCGGCAAGGCCTCTTTACTGTTTTTGAATGTCTGGAGCAGCATTGCTGCCGATTTCCGGGACTGCCTGGCCCTTTCAGTGCCGCATGTGTGTGCGGCAAGGCCCGTCCTTACTGTTTTTCAATGTCTGGAGCCAGCTGCAGCTCAGCCTGACTGCATAGCAGGCCACCTGGGAGCGTCCCACTCATAGCCCTGACCTTGTGGTGGATTGACGGCTCCCGACCCACTGCCCTGTGAGTCAGCTGATCAGCTGCCAACCAGTCGGGGCCAACCATTGGCAGTGCAACCCTGCTGGTTTACTTAAAAATGATGTCTATCCCACTGCGTATTGATTCCCACCTATGAATCAGCTCTTTTGTCCTCATCTGTAGCCTGAAAAGATGCCATGCATCTCATAGTTGTCAGGAATATGTAGCTTTTCCATGCCACGCATCTCATAGTTGTCAGGAATACGTAGCTTTTCCATTCTTCCTGAGTACATGGTTCATGTTGCGAGGGTCCTAAAATTGCATCATGATCGAGGAGCTGAATGCCGATGATCATGTTGCCTTTTTTTTCCTTTGAAAAAAAAAAAACACCAGCCCATTCTATTCTGGGGGGGCAATTACCGGCAAGCATGAGTTCAAGCAAAGAGTGGAGACTCAGGAAGTTGCAGCCTTTCCCCCACGACGTGAGACACCTGTCGTGGGGGGCTGGGGGGACTTGACTCCCACCGTGTACCTGCAGTCAACCGGCTGCTCCCGCTCTCATATCCTTTCCTTCCCCGCAACTCAGAATTGAACACCCCCTGGCGCTCCTTTGCTCCTCCTCACTCACTGATTTACCGTTTTACCTTGTGTACTCTCTTGGTACCCAGATGAGGCTCCACTCCCCAATCCTGAGCTCGGGGCCCATAGTGACCGGGAAACTTTCTCTTGGTACCCAGACGCACACTATGGTAGGCCTGGGGGGACTTGATTCCCATCGTGTACCTGCAGTCAACCGGCTGCTCCCGCTCTCATACCCTTTCCTTCCCCGCGACTCAGAATTCAACACCCCCTGGCGCTCCTTTGCTCCTACTCACTCACTGGTTTACCGTTTTACCTTGTGTACTCTCTCCGCCCTTGTATTCCATATCTGTTCACTTTACACCTCTGCTCTTCCCTAGTCGCCTCTTAGTCCTCCCTATATTAGTACCCTTGTCGCAAAGTCACCTCATCATTTTACTTTTTTTAATTGTATTTTTTTTTCCCCCCAAAAAAGGGGGCAGTCGTTTACGTTCTTGAACCCATCAGGATTTGAACTCACACCTGTCTTTTGTTGATAATTGTGTGTACCATTTAGGAACATGCATAATGATCAGCCTTCTCTGTCTTGTTGATGCTGTGCTTTCTCTGTGTCTACTTTGTTTGATTGGTACTGCCTGATTCTGATCTGCAGGTGCAGAGTGGTAATGAGACCCTTCAGCTTGGTAACCTTGCAAACTGGACAAAGGGTATAAACATATTCGAGAAAGAGTTCTTGTTTGTTCCAATTCATGACAGGTGTGAATTCTGTCCTGCATTTTGTTATGTCTGGTCTGCGCAGGCAGAAAATGTGTTGTGTTGTCGCTTCATGCACATCATGTGTGCCTACGCACGTTCTGTTTTCATTTTACTTTTTTTTAATTGAATGTCCTGTGAAATCCTGCGGTCCGAATGAGGGTGAAATGTGAGGTTTGAAAAGCCTGGATCAGAAGTGGGGGAAGGGCAAGAGGAAAGAGGTGATAGCAAAGACAAAGGAGACAGGAGTAAGAATTAGATGAGACTTAAGCATACAATAGGCAGCCGGGTATAGGGAAGTAAGTTAAAGTAACTAGACTAAAAGAGTGTAGTAGTTATAAAAAAGAGGATTGAACAGAGGGTGTGACTGACGGGATGGACAAAGGAGATTGGTGTAAAAATTTGACGAGACTTAAGGATTCAATAGGAAGCCGGGATAGGGAAGGATCTAGACTAATAGGTACAAAAGATGGTTGAACAGAGGGTGTGACTGACAGGATGTGAGGCCTGTCTTACTGCTAGAACGCCCCCCCCGGGCCAGGCCTTCCCTGGGGACCCATCTGTTGTGTGGCTGAGTGCTGCTAGGAAGCCTCCCGACCAACAGAGGTATCCCTGGGGAGGCTATGGTATGGGAAGAGGGATCGGTTGTAGCAATCCCCCCCTTGTTAGGCGTCTAGGGCCACAAGGGTAAGGCTTTCCTCTTTTCCTACAAATAATTTGTACTTTGGAACTCATGCTTGCCGGTGATAAGAAACTGGCCTGATGCCCCCCAGAATAGAAAGGGCTGAGTTGTTTTGGAAAAAAAAAAAAAAAAAAGATTTCTGCTTCGGCAAAAAAAATAAAAATAAAAAAAAATCCTGCGGTCCCGTGGTGATAAGAGAACCAACGGGATAAAGGCTTTCTTACCGATGGCGCCGATCCATTGTTGGGGAGTGACACCTACTGGAAACCGGGTTCAGCATCCCTTGTACACAACATTACAGTGTTACATACCCCGGTGGTCAGCGCCCCTTGACTGGTCAGATTCCGACTAGCCGACCGGTGGGCTGATCAGCACCCTGGTCAGCACCTACCGGTCGGGGGTCGTCAACACCCCGCAATTTTTATTTATTTATGTTTTTTGGGTCCAGAACCCGCACCCACCAACACCCAATACCCGCCCCCAATACTCCCA